GCTTTCATTATGTGATTTTTCCTGTTCTTTGGATACCTCAGTCTCTGAGTAATGAAATACTGACTATATTTGATGTGGATCACACAGCTTAGAAATTCAGTTTTAGCTCTTGTACTGGCCTCTCTTATAAAGTTGACATAGTCAAATTCATGAAGTACTGCATTCAGGTATACCTTGATGCTACAGCAGTAGAGCTCTAGAGAGTTTACAGCATTCTGCAGTGCAGAGGTAGGCCTGCATGCCCGCCTGCATGTGTGTAGACACAGCAAGCCCTAGTTCTGTGTGTTGGGGAGAAAGCCAGAAGTCTTCCTGAGTTGTATCCCTTTCCTCATACCTGTTCAAAGGGTATCTACAAAATCTGCCACTGTCTAGCTTGGCTCCCATTTTCTATGCTGGTTTTCATATGATGATTTGGAAGGGAAGAAGAAAAGGAAGAAAACAGATAAGAAATAACAATCAAGAGGAAAAGCTCATTTATGTCGTTGCTTTGTGTAGAACAAGGCAATTTTCTTCTTGGCTTACAGAAAATATTTTCTCATCATCTTCCTCACGTGCAAACCATCTTTTTTGGCTACAATATCTAAGTAACAGCTGAAGATGAAGCATGAGTTCAAAGACTAATAGGAAACACAAAGACACTTGGATGACACACAACAAAGATACACAGTGTTTGCTAAGAGATCACAAACAGTAAATATTTTTGACTTGCTTGTTTTTGACTTGGGTGTTTAAGAGTCGGGATATGACGTAGTCGGGAACTGTCAGCGTTAGATTAATGGTTGGACTAGAAGATCTTCAAGGTCCTTTCCAACCTAGCTGATTCTGTGATAAGAACCTGATGTACCAAATGTGGACCACTAGATGCTGCCAAGTTCATGGAGCTACTTGGTGTGAGTTGGGGTTGGACCCAGGGTGTCATTTGTTGCATCATCTTAGGTGCTCTGATTTTATCGGCAGATATTAAGTATCTCAAAAAGGAATCTGCAGAAAGCAGACTGAAAATTAGTTTCAGCTTATTAGGATTTAAATGAAGAAAGCAGCTAATTAAGGGATGTCTTTAACAACTTTTTTGTTCGTTGTTCAACTGATAATTACTTTGGTAATGTAAGGGTCAAGAAACAAAGAAATTGATTTTAAGCACATTGTGACTTGGCATTCAGTGGGATATGGGATCCCCTGATTCAGATCTCTCCTTTAATTTGGACAGAGCACAAATTTGAACTTGGATTTCCTATAATCTGTGTAATGGTTCTGAATGTTAGAATGAGAGTCATAGAATAATTTAGTCTAGTAGGGACCCATTAAAGTCATCTAGGACTAACTTCAAACGTTGTTCAGTACTTCAGCCAGTCAATTTTTGTAAACCTCTAGTGATGGAGATTCTGCAGCCTCTCTGGTCAAGTTGTCCCAGTGCTTAACCACTCTCACCATGAAGTATTTTTTCTTATGTCTAATTTCAATTTCCTTTGTTAAAATACACAAAAATTGCAACAATTACATCTTATTCTTTCACTGTTCATCTCCAAGATATTGGAAAAAAACATCCTTTCTGTTCAGGCAAGCACGAATCTGGGCTGCTCATGTGCATGATCAGCCTAACCATCAAGCTAAAGCCAATCTTAAACTTTTCTCTTTTTTTTTTAAATATTAAATCTTAAACTGTAAATATAAATCTTAAACTCTAACTATTTTTTTTAAAATGGTAATTTTTTAATTTCAATACAAATTAACTACTATGATGGACTGCTATCTCTGTAATACATTACTTGTAATATTTTATGAGTCAAAGATTTAGACTACAGGTCAGTGTCAGAGCTTTCTCCTATTCATCAGAAATTGTGCATGTCACTTCATTAAAACCAAACCCAAACTTATGTACCTTCATTCTGATATAGCATAGCGCAGCTGTCATTTTATGTGGGAAAAAAAAAAAAATAAATTAAGGAATACTGTACTCCACTGCTTAAAACAAGTCAAGGGCAGGAAACCTTAGTGGTGATTTCAAACTAAAAGTTCTCAGTACACAAATACTATGTCAACAAATTATATAAAAAGTAAAGCTAGATACATAAATGTTGAAGTTACAACCAATGAAATGTCATTCGCTTTTTTTCCATGTAAAAGCAAGATTGTTCTTGACCTTTGGACACACTTGAAGTTTGTTGCAAAGGAACGCTTAGTAGCTGCAGCTTGTACAAAGCTAAACAGGAATAAAACCACTCTGGTACAATAAGACCAATTCAATATATGTTCCTCAAGGACTTTTGGTTCTACTTGCCACATATTTATAGGTGTCTTACATTTTTAAAGTTATAAACAAAGTATTCTTTTCTTAATAAAAGTCTTTTACAATGCAAAGGAAAAGCCAAGTTACCAGGTTGCAGCTGAAATTCACAGTTCAGGAATAACTTTAAAAATTTCCTTTGGCTCCCTGCAAAATTAAGATCAGATTCAGATATAAAAATTCAAAGGGTGGTGTTTTTCAGTAGTGACCGAGAAGTAATTGAGTAACATAAACAAGGGTGAATATTATACTGTAATTTTTTTAAAAGCATTTATTACTTAACTGAAGAAATTAGAAACTGGCTTTTATCCTTATTTGATGTGGATTCTATCTACATGAATTTTGAAAGGTGAGTTACTATACAAGAATTCTACAGTCACTAACATTCAATGATAAAATGATCAACAAATCTACAGTGAGGAAAACTTTTTCTCAGCTCAGACAGAATTGGAACACTTTTTTCATGGAGTCTGGGGGAGGAGGGTGTCTGGTGTTTTGTTTTCCTTTTGTAGTTGAGGTATGGTCCAGTACCCAAAAGATCGCTGTGATGTTTATGTAGTAACACCTGCTTTTGAAGGGTTCTGGAAAACAAAGAACCACTACCTTACCTGCTCTCTTGTAGCTTTCATTTTTTTCTGTAGATCAGTATATGTGAATATATACTGATGACATCAGTTTTCTTAATCAAACACGTACGGTTTGTGATTGTGGAACATGGTCTTTTCCTGATCATTATCACTGTGTTCCTAAATCTGAAAATGAATTGGTAGCAATAATACTCATGTGGATCCACACATAAAAAAAATGCTGGATAAAATATATCAACTGATTCTCATATGCTAACCTAACACTGAAATATCAGTACTCTTGTTGGAGTACTGTCTCCCCCTTCCCCAAAATGTGAAAGTATTTCACAGAGTATCTGGGAAAAGCAGAAATTTATTCCCGGTACATAATTCATGACTGATAGAAAATTAATGTAAGATGTGATTAAACTGATTGACAATGGCAGTATGGAAAACGACATGAAGAGAACAAAAGAGGTGTTAGCTACATTTAAAAAGTAGATAAGAAAGCAAAAATATATGAAAGAAAATGAAGAATGGGAAAGTGAATAAAAAATATACAAGTAGGAAAAATTATGAAAAGCAGAGTAAAAATGCAAACAGTATGAAGAGCAAGAAGCAGTAAGTAATAGGGAGAGATATGTAATGAAATGTGCTGTACCAAGTAAAAGGAGGAGATATATTGGAAACAGATTGAGTAGTTAATTTTTAAAATTACGTGCTTACAAGGAAAATGGTAATTAATGCTTCATGTTAAGAAGTGATTTGACTATATCTTCAGTTAAAATTTAATATCAAAATCATAAATTTTCATGCTAAAGATTGTAAATTGAAAAATAAAATAAAACAAAACAGAAAATGGTGCTCTGAGGTGGTCCAAAATCAGTATTTATGTTTTTGCGGTATTTCAGCACTGAGTTTCTTAAATGTTGGGGTCCATCAAATGCAGTCAAGAACATTAATGAGTAGATAAGGGAAATGAAGTAAAGTATACAGAAGAAGCCCTTCTTAACTTTCTGAACAGGTCTAACACACAGTCTTAGACTTCCATGAAGTATGCTTCGCAATGTGGAAGAAACTAAAAATAAGAGAAAATTGAGATGTTAATATCAAGGGCATAGATTAAGAAAATTAAGTTAATTTGCATGTTATAAATTTGAGTTTAACAGAAAAATACCTCAGTTTATGTGTCTCTGAAAAGTACTGAAAAGACATTCCTGAAAAAGGTTGTTGCCAACAAGTTATTCGGTGAGATCATGCAGGATCAAAGCAGGAAGGCATGAACCAAAGACGAGAAGAGATTAGGCATGAAAGGAATTTAGGAAACAATGTCTTTGCACAGCTGGTGATTTATATGTGGAATGAACCACCAAAGACAGAAGCAATAGCTGTAACCATAAACTCTCTCCAAAACAGTTATGCAAGCCCTTGGAAGAGAAAGAGTATTACAAGGTACAGAGTCTAGACAGGTATCATGCAGTTGTTGTCAGAATAGGTGATGTGCCACCAAACATGTATTTAATGCTCTGAGGAAGGACATTTCTCCCACCTGCACAGTGCTTATAGCCATTATTCTGCTGTTTGTTTTACAGAAAGTTTGCAGATGCAACCTCAGCAAATAGGTGTGAAAGTTTGTTACTCCTTTGAGAATGCGGTATACTGAAGCCTTTATGAGGAAGGCCGTCTTACAGGGAAATTCATGGTGCATGAGAGAATCAGAAAAAGAAATATTTCCTAGTGTTCCTACAACATATGAATCTCACCCGTACCTTCCCAAAAGCCCATCATAATAATAAATTAATCAACAGAATCGGGATATTTTTTCTTTACCCTTATATTAGTACAGGACATTGAGTATATAGGCCAAACAGGTTGATTTTGTTTTTTTTTTTTAATTAATCCTATATTCAACATTTTTTATTAAATATAAATAGCGTTTCCATGTGTATAGAGATGTCGATAGCGGAATTTTTGGTAAGTGCACATATAAGGGTGCATGGACATATATTTACCTTTTAAAAATCAAATTATATAAATTTTACTCAGGTATATGTAATCTAATCTGAAGGTTTAATTTTGCAGTTACCTATCATCCTCTAAAGTCTGTTGTTAGACAAAAAACTAAATTGATGTTACTTGTGTCTCCCTAGGAGAAGGAATTCAAGCTTCTGCCTCCACAAGGGTGTACATCTAGCACACAGACTAAAGGGCAGGAGACCAAAGTCCACTGTAATGACAACAAAGGTAAAACTCTTGGAAAGAGATGGAAAATCCTCAGGGACGAAGAAGCCTGGAGAGGAAAGGGTGAATTGGCTAATTCAGTGTCCTTACAAACACCCCAAAGTCTGACCTGTCAGATCACTGTATCTTAATTCTTGGGAGCAGTTGTCTGGCCTCATTAATATCATTACTGGTTGCTTTGTAACGGCAGCAAACAAGAATCAAGAGTGTTTAGTAGGATTTACTGCTTGAATGAGGAGAAGAATATTTATTTTGTTGTGAAACAAGAGTCACAATAACCAACGCAAGCAGAGATCACCAGGGAGAAGCAAATGCATAACATTAAAGTAACCAGCCTGAAGCCATTACACATTAGGACAGGAGAGCAGCTAGAAAGAGCACCAAATTATTTCATCCTGGTGTTAAGAGTTTTTCCATGTAATAAAGATTATGTAATTATTATTTACCCATCACTATTCTTAATTATTTTTTTAATTCCTCCTGTTTCTAAAGTCTAAATAGAAACAGTAGCTCTTTACATAGCACATATATAATCAGTGTGTTAGGTGCCAGGGAAGCTGGCAAGATAGTAATGATAGAATAGGATAAAAGGATAAATAAAGGTAATAAAAAAATGTCATTTGTGAAGAACATCCTGATATACCACTGCAGCCACTATAGGGTGTGGAGTGGTTAGAAGACAATAGACATATTAATGAGTAATCCAGACCGAATGGCTCTGGTAAAGGACATAACAAAGGTCAAGCTGCACTGAGAAACTGCAGATGCAGTAGAAAGAAACTTCATAGGCAGCAAAAAGATAAGGACTTTGGACTGAGGGAGAAGGAAAAACAAGATGCCAACCTCACGGAACCAGTCGTGTGGACACTGGACTTAGACCAATCACAGAAGTTAGAAGGGCACATGAACATATAGTCTCGACCTATCAGCAACTGGAAGCTGGCACGTCTACTTTGTACTAGGGTATAAATTGCTATGTATCCCATAATAAACTGGCATTGACCTGATCACACTGATCGTGTATGTTGTGTCCAAGCCTTCTGCGTCAATAGGGATATTGACCTTTGAAACAAAGAAACTGCAATGCAATTTTTTTTTTGTATGCCAGCCCATCCATAGCAACGTGAATGTCTGTATTTATTGAGACAATTTTTCTCACTGTATATTAATCTCTTATAACCACTATCTGTTTCCAGTAATGTCTGCCTATTTGTCCGTCAGTTCTGAATGTCTTCTAGTAGTTCAGATCTTTTACTGAATTTTTTGCAAGTGTGTAGGACATAGATGATGACAAAGGAATAACAATTACGATTGAAAATATATTCTTTCCTGCTTTTCACACTTCTTTTGTGGGAACTATAAAATGAAGATATTCCTGGTTTAATGTCATCAATTTTCATGAAGTCAAGAATGCAACTAAAGAGGTAGAGGGAGATGATATTTGTCACTCTTAAAGCAAATGTTTTCATGGAACTGCTCATACTGATGAACGTGTCCTTTCCTGGTTAATTACAGCTAAATTTATTTACTTCTAATGTGTATCCAGTCTTCATGATTTTTACTTTCTTCGATCAAGTTGACTGGTTTTGTTAGATACTTTCAAAGTCCCTAAAATTCTCTCAGGTTTAATCTAATTTAAATAATTGGGTGACATTGGAAAAAATTTTGATATTTCCCCTTTCACCCAGTGCATCAAGGTTTTTAGCAAGTACATTAAGCTATGGCCTAATGTGAATCTTTGAGGACTCTATTACACAGCTTTGAAGATGACAGTTTGGTTTTCTGCAAAACAAGAAAAGCTGAATTCTTACAATAACAGTAACTTAATTTATGACCATTATGAAACAGCACTTACTGAAATAAAGTAGATGTCCCCATCGCACTCAATCAATAGAATTGAAATCCTAAGTAACAATATATTATTGACAATGTAGCAGTTTTTATCAATTTCTAATACATCAAAAATTAATAGCATATGTGAATAAAGTTTTGCTTGGCTTAATGTAGCAGTTGTA